GGGCGGCTCTCCCACTAGGGGTAGCTGTTGCCTGAACGCCGGAGCGCTCCCCTCTCGCCGCCTGCCTCGCCCGGCGCAGCCCCGGCCGCCGGGCGCACCCGTCCCGTTCGTCCCCGGTCGTTGCTCTCCACCCCGGGAACGTCGAGACCGGAGCGCCCGAACGGAGCCACCTTCGCGAACCTGAGCGCGGCGGCCCGACTCACCGTGGAGGCGCCCTGACGCGTAAAGTGCGTACTTCCAGCCGAGAACGTGGGCTCCGACTTTTTAGGGGTGCGGGGCAACCCCCAACTCCACCAGCCCCCCCTCCCCCGCCAGTCCTGTCGCCGCGCCCCGCTTGGCCTCAACTCCCCCTTCCCAAGGAAAACCACCTGGGTCCCTCTCCATGGGGTCCCCCCCCCCCCGCTTCGGCCCGCCGCGTCCCCGGGGCCAGGCCTTGGCCCAGCCGGCTGCGGTCCACCCCCCGTCCGGGAAGCCGCGCTGCCCGGGACGCCCCGCGGTGCGGCCCGCAGCGCCGCCCGCCCCAGGCACCGGGAGCCCAACTTCTCCGGACTGGGCAGAGAGCGCGCTCGCGCCCCGGCCGGCCGGCGGGAAGAGCGCCTTCCGCCACCCAGCAACTTGTCCGGAGAAGTTGACCGCGCGCGGGGCCGGGCGGAGTCGGGAGCCGCCGTCCTCCCCTCCGGTGCCCGCTCCTCTGCCGGGACGCTGCCCCCGCGGGCGCCGAGGGACCCGTGGCTCCGGCAGGCTGAGCTCCAGCGGGCGCGAGGATACTCCCTTCTCTCCAGATAGGGATAGCGGCGGCGAACTTCTCTCCCCAGGGAGGCCAGCAGGTCTGGCCCAAAGGTCCTGCCTCCCCCGGCGCAAGGGTCTTAAAGGCGGCCTCCAAGTTCTCCCTGAGCGCACCTGGCCGGGCGGGGGTCTCCTCCCCTGGCAGGCCACTTGTCCCGTCTGACTTCCCGCTCGTTCCCTATTCCGGCCTCTGCTTTTGGAGAGGGGTGGAAGGACTGGAGGGCGGGGGCGGGGGTGGGGGGAAGGCGGCGGGAAGAAGAGGCCTTTGGAGAGGGGTGGAAATATCAGGGGAGCAGGGGCTTTTGGAGAGGGATGGAAGGATGGGGGGAGCAGGCTTTTGGAGAGGGATGGAGGGATGGGGGGGAGCAGAGGCTTTTGGAGGGGGTGGAAGGATGGGGGAGGAGGAGGCAGCCTCCTACAGGAGCCCTGAGGTTTTTTTGAAGGCTTGAGACTCCCGTTAGGGGCTCCAACTTCAGGTGGACAGTCTCCCCAGCCCTGACCTCCTGGTCTGTGAGAGGTGCCAGTCTAGGGTTGGGGTCCTGCCAGCCCCGCACAGGATTTGGGACAGTTCTTCTCTCCACCATATCTAGTCTCAGAAAGTGAGAAGCCACCTTGGGCTTGGAGAGCCTTGTTGGGGTGGGCGTGGGGCTGCTGTTGGTGTGCATGTGTGTGTGTGTGTACACGTGCACATGAGTGTGCGCACACGCATATGCTCTGGGGCAGATGCACATTGGGCCCCTGACCTCCCCCGGGGGACCTAGCCCACGCGGGGAGGTGGAGAGGTGGTAAAGCGGGTGCCCCTCCTGACCCAGCCACCCGGGAGCTGCTGCGAACAGCAGCATTGAACAAATGGGCACAGGCGTCCCCCACGCCTTGGGGTGCTCAGGTCAGACGCCCTCGCTTCCACAGCTCCTGGTGCAGGTGAGAATAGAGCCAGAGTCCATCCAGCTACCGCTGGTCTTTGGGACAGAGAACCTGGCAGCGGGACTGTCACTCTGGTGCTCAGCTGCCTCCTAGTTCCCCCTCTTTCTGGTCTCCCCTTAACTCTTCTCCAAGTAGCCCCCCCTCATCCCTCCAGCACAGTACCCCAGTTCTCTGGGTGGCCTGGGTCTCCCTACTGGCCACCTGTGTGCTTCTGAGAGCCTGGCCCAAGGCTAGTCCTGGGGCTTGGGGGAAGCCTTGGTGGGTCCGGATGCTGTCCAGGAGCAGTTTGGAGAGGGGCTGAGGCACAGGCCGTGGGCCCTGGCATGGCTGGGGCCGGCCGACCTTTTCACGGCCTCCCGCTTCCAGGAGCCTGGGCACGGCCACCTGTCTGTGAGGCTCTGCCTCTCACTGCCTGTGTGGGGCAGGTGGGGACGAGGCTGTCACCAGACTCCCCTGGGGCAGTGTGGCCCCAGAAGCCCCTCCGAGGATCAGAGGAGGAGGTCCTGCTCCACACCTGGGGAACCACAGGTGGGCGGCCCCGGGCTCTGCCCACCTCACCGTGATCTGGCTGCGTGGTCCCAGCCTTCCTGGGCCACCACTCCGCCTGTCCCTCTGCTCCGCCTGTCCCTCCGCTCTGCCTGTCCCTCCGCTCTGCCTGTCCCTCCGCTCTGCCTGTCCCTCCGCTCCGCCTGTCCCTCCGCTCCGCCTGGCCCTCCGCTCCGCCTGGCCCTCCGCTCCGCCTGGCCCCTCTGCTCTGCTGTGGCTGCTGTGGGCGCCTTCAGACCTCTGGACTTCCCCTCCTGCTGTTCCCCAGTCTCCCACTCCTCGTCCTCTCTCACTGCTCTGGGCTCTGGGGTCCAGCCCACCCTCCACAGAGGAGCTGAGACCCCACCTCCCCACCTGCCCTCCCCCCCGGCCCCTCCTGTGTGTCTGTACTCAGTGGAGGCCTCTCGCTTGGGCTCTGTGTCTGGCTCCTATGCCAGCCTTGCTCCTGTCCGCCGGCGGCGGGGACCCCCAGCGCCACCCCAGAGCCCTGTGCTGGCACCTGTGCAGGTGCCCAATAAAGCTTCGTGTGCTGAGCCTCGAGTGTCCTGTGAACTTCCTGAAAAGCCGCCGTCCGGGGAGAGTTTAACACGTTTCCTCCGCTTTTGGGCAGAGCAGCAGTGAGCGAGCAGGGCACGGGACCTGGGTGATAGACCACAGTCCCTGGGTCGTCTGCTCTGGGTGTGGGGTCCGGTGCCCACACCTGGGCCAGGCTCCCAGGGGCTCTCTCCCGTCCTGGGCCGAGCAGATCCTCCCAGGCCTCCCTTGCCGAGATGGGGGCAGGCGTTCCTCCCCTGCGGTGGGCTTGTCCCGCTGGCCCCCTGTGGGGGCAGCTGGTGTTATGGGGACGGGTGTGTGTGTGCAGGAGTGGAAGACAGCGAGGCTGGGGGCTGGGCAGGGGTCTCAGCCAGGAGAGCTTGTTGGCCCCAGGGCCTGGAAGGAGCGAGGGTGTGTTGGCAGTGTTCGGGGCTGGAGGAGGTGTGGGGGTCCTGTGCCAGAGAGAGGACAAGGCCCCGGAGACAGTGCCCTGGCTACTTGTGCGACCCCAGGGCTTGGACGGCTGGAGGAGGTGTGGGAGTCCTGTGCCAGAGAGAGGACAAGGCCCCGGAGACAGTGCCCTGGCTACTTGTGTGACCCTAGGGCTTGGATGGCTGGAGCCTCGTGCCAGTCCCTTCCTGCCATGTCCCTGTGGCTTCAGACGTCCTAGAAAGTGCAGGGAGAGCCTGGCCTAGCCCGGCCTGGCTGAGACAGCCCGTGGAACATGGGAAGCCCCGTGGAGAGCCCACCCAGCCCCCCACTGTCATCATGGCCTGTCTCATTCCCACCGAAGCTCGGGGAGCCCCCACCTTTGACCTATCCCCACTGTCCAGCCCAGCCTGGGCTCTGACTTGTTCCTGGCACATCGTGCTCCCTGGTGCCTGGCCAGCCCTGGGGTGGGAGAGGAAGGATGCTTTGCCAGCCGCTGCCTGTGGGCACTGGGGCCTGGCCAGCCTTGGGATGATGGGCTTCTCATACCAAGGAAGAGGCGTTGGCTGAACCCTGTTCTGGCACGAGGGCCACCTTTGCATCCGTGCCTCCTTCCACCCATCTGCAAAGACACAAGGGCCAGATGTAAGGTATGAATGCATGTACAAGCATGCGTGTGCATGGGTGTCCTCCTACTCACACTCGGCCTCGTTCCAGAGTGGAGTCCAGGCTTTCCAGGAAGCCCTGGAACCCAGGAGATCGCACACAAGAGACGGTGGAAAGCAGGAGAGGCAAAGGACAGGTCGGTGTCACCTTGGCTGTGGCACAGGATGGAGTGGGCCTCAAAAGGCCGGGGTGGGTGGCACCAGTGGCTCACGCCTGTCATCCCGGCTACTCAGGAGGCTGAGATCTGAGGATCGTGGTCTGAAGCCAGCCTGGGTGGCAAAGTCCCCATGAGACTTAACCTCCAATTAACCACTCAAAAACTGGAAGTGATGCTGTGGCT